GAGGGTGGGACTGGCGGGTGCGGGGGGCGAGGGGGGAGCGCGGGCCCTGCGCGGTGCTCTGGCGCCCTCTGCCGGCCCGCACCGCGCACCGCAGCGGGGGCGGGCCGGGGGGCTCCGCCCGGCGGTGCCGCGAGTTTGTCGGGTCTCAGCAGCGGGGTGGAAACGGAGCCGCCCTGCCTGGGGATCCCACCCCAATCCCGGCCCCGCGGGGGATGCTGAGCCGGGCGAAAAGGGCTGCCCGCTTTGGTGGTCCCTGGGGAGCGTTGCCAGCACCCACCCGTGTCCCAGCCAGCCCTGCAGATGGGGGGCGGTGGGGTGAGGGGGCAGGGACAGTCCCCAGCCCCGCGGGACGGCGGGTCGGGCCACCCGGGTGCTGGCGTGACGCCGACTTCCAGCAAGGGAAGGGCCCTTGACCTTGCTTGCAGCCTTCACATTTTCCCGCAGGAATGTGAGCTGAGCGGTGCTGTGTCCCTGTGGGCAGCCATGGCCTCGGCCACCCAATGTCTCCTGCCTGCACCCTGGCTGCATCCTGCTCCTTATCCACATCCCAGCTGTCGATGTGAAACAAAGCTGAGAGGTGGGGACATGATGGGGGTCATGCACCGTCCTTTCTATGCTGCTGCCATGGACACCGGCTGCAAGGTGTAGCCTCAGGGCTTGGTGCTGCTGTCATGGATATGGGACTGCTCCGAGAGGAGGGATGCTATGGTGCTGGGGCTGGCATGGGAATCCTCCCCTGGTGTTTCATAGCTTTCCATTCCCACTGGGGCTTGTTAAAATCTCGTTTCCAAGCAAAGCAGCTCCCCAGTGCTGTGGGATGTGGCAGTGGCACAAGGGTTAACCCTGCTTTCCCTTTCTGTCGGTGCCTGGTCTGGGATAACCTCGTTAGCTGTGGCAGTGATGCCCCTGGGACAGAGCAGCCCTATAAACTGGAGCTGAGTGCTGGGAAATGGGCTGAGCTGCCTCAACGCAGGGCTGGTGGGTGCTCCCGCCCCCATGCACCAGCCCGTGGCTGCTCAGGGTGTCATGGAGAGGAGAAGCTGTATCAAGCTCTTGGGGACAGGATGGATCTGTCACTGCAGGGTCTGGCATCCTTTGTGAAGCTGTGCTGCAAGGGAGTAAATGCCATCAGCCCTGGAGAGGACACCCTGAAGGTGCTGGTTGCTGAGAGGGGCTGGCCAAGCCCTGATCCCACAGCCTGGGGGCTCTTCTCTGTCCCCCAGGACTCAGCTCTTCCTCCTCAGCCACTTGCAGTGCAGGATCACACAGGGCCCTTGTCACCATGGCTGTGCCAACCATGCCACCCTCAGCCCCACGGGGGGCCTGGGGATACCCAGCCACTCCCTCCTGTTGGGTTGTTCCTTGGATGGGCTGAGGAGCACCCACCCCCTTCCCGAGGCTGGCACTGGCATGGGTGCCCAGGCATTGTTTGTGCCTGTGCTGTTGTGCCACAGGCTGGTTTCTGGTGGCCACCTCCCCTTGCTGTAGGAGAAGATGGGTTCCGTATGCTGGAGCATTCATTCCCTCTGCTGATCGACAGCCTGCGGTCTGGCTGAGCAGCCCCAATTGTTCCCAGTGTGCTTGGACAAAGAACTGCCTAGAGAGATGGCAAGGCTTAGGAGCAGACGACATGCTAGGAATATTTCCACTGCCTTGGACACCACCAGTCTCTTCCCCCACCTCCTGCAAGAATGAGAGGCAGCAGCTCCATTTCACAGGCAGGCTGGGACGCCTTCCCCCTGTTCTGAGCAGAGTGGTGCAGAATCCTGTCCCAAGGCAGGCTGAGGACTCATCCCTGGGAGTGTGTCCTCAGCTGCATGGTGCTGTGCCGAGTGCCACCCTCGCCTGTGTGCTCTGGTGAGGAGACAGCAAACGCCATAGGAACCCCAGGGAACCCCACGCAGCCCCTGCAGGTCCCTGTCCCCAAGGATCCACGTGGCACAGCAGGGTGCTGGTGCTGCCCTGGGGCCCTCCAGCGTGCTCAGGGCTGCTGTTCCCACACAGACAGAGCAATCTGGGGAGCTGCAGTTCACAGCTGGTGTTTTTGCTGGGTGCTGCATCACCCCAAAACCAGGAGGAATTGGGGAGGGGGAAGGCATGGGGTGAGGAAGGGCAGGATTGCCTTCAGCACTGGGCTTGGGGCTCTCACCTGCTCTTTCTGCTCCTTGGCTTGTCTCACCTGCTATGGTTCCCTCCTAGCTGTGGGCCAGCCCTGAGATTTATCACTGTTTTGCAAACAGGAAGTTTGGGACAGGGTTTCACACCAAGCTGAAACTCCTCGGCATGGAGCAACTCCTGGTGAGCCTGTGGAAACCAGGATGTCCCAGAGGAGCTCTATCAGCTCCCACACGACCTGCTCAAGGTCAGGCAGAGCCAGCAGTGAGGAGCCCCAGTTCCTTCCTTCCCTGCCTGCCCGTGGGCTCACAGGCATGAGTGGAGTCCACATCTGCTCTGCTCCCTCAGAGCAGAGGCTTTTGTTCTCAGGGTTCAGAGGATTCCTCCACATATGAAAGGAGCAGCAGTACTGGCATTTCCAGTAGGGAGAAGATGCTTCATTTGAAAACATCCCAGTTTCCTTGGTCATTAGCATCTGACATGGCTGAGAATCACAACATCATTGAATCCACGCTGGGAACTGACAGAGCCCAGAGCGCAGCTCCTGTTCTGTGCTGCACTGCTGGCGCTGGTGGGGATGAGCGGGAGGATGCCTGCGAGCACAGGATGCCCGCTGCAGCCTGGCTGCTGGGGCCACTCTGCCACCTCCCCTGTGCCCAGGAGACACTGCCTGGCAGCCCGGGGCGTGCGGAGGTGGCCAAGGCAGCAGAGAGCCCGCAGCGCTGCGAGAGGGGGCTGCACACGCAGGGAGGTGACCGCGTGTGACTTGCTGCCCCTGCCCTGCTGCGCCAGGAGGGCCCACGCGTGCGTCCCCCGAGCGGGGACAGGGACGGGGGGCTGCGGCACGGCCAGCCCGGAGGAAATGGGCCGGGAAAGGGCTCGGGGAGGCAAACGGCCGGGGAGGAGTACGGTTAGCTGCACCCCAGGCTGTGAGAGGCCCTGTTTCCCCCGCGCCCGCTGTCCCGCCGAGATTAGCTCTCGGCTGGCTGGGCTTGACGGGCAGGCGGAAGGGGCCGCACACGCCCGCGCGGCGGGGCCGCCCGCAAACACGGGGCAAAGCGGGCACCGGGCCGCTCCTTCCCTCCCGCTGGCTGTGCCGGCTGTGCCCGCCACTGCCAGGTGCCAGCGCAGGGCTCTGCGCATCGGCCATCCCCCCGTGCTGGTGGCGAGGCCGTGCTGGGCAGGAGGGCCGCGGCTGCCACGCTGTCTCCCGGAGCCGTGCTCGCTCCGGGCCGGCCCCACTGGGAGGGTGACCCGATTCATCACGCTTGGCATCACCCGGTGCTGCCAGGGCTGGCTCCCCCTCCAGCCCTTCCCCACGGGGCTGCCAGCTCGGCTCAGGCCCAGCCAAGCGCGGGGGATGAAAGGGCTGCCGGGAGCGCTGGTGGCAGCAGCAGGGTCACGCCACGGCGCAAACGCCGCCGAGCAGAGCTGCCCGTGGGGACCGCGGGGCAGCACCGAGGTGACCCCTGCGCTCGGGGTCAGCGGCAGCCCCAAGCGGCTTAATCCCAATCGAGCAGGGGGAGCAGCGTGGGGGGACGGCGGATTCCTGACCCGCAAGCGAGCCTGGCATCTTCTCCACAGTGGATTCCTGACCCGCAAGCGAGCCTGGCATCTTCTCCACAGCGGATTCCTGACCCACAAGCAAGCCTGGCATTTTCTCCACAGTGGATTCCTGACCCGCAAACGAGCCTGGCATCTTCTCCGCAGCGGATTCCTGACCCACAAGCGAGCCTGGCATCTTCTCCACAGTGGATTCCTGACCCACAAGCAAGCCTGGCATCTTCTCCACAGTGGATTCCTGACCCGCAAACAAGCCTGGCATCTTCTCCGCAGCAGATTCCTGACCCACAAGTGAGCCTGGCATCTTGTCCGCAGTGCCACGGCCACTTCCCGACATGACCCAATAGGGCTGAGTGGTGTCGCCCTGGCACTGGGAGGGTGAGAAATAATGGGAACAGGCAGCAGAAAATGTAAAGCAGAAAAAAATCGCTTTTGTCTTGAGAAAGCAGCAGCCATTTGGACTGCTTCTTCCTCCCTGAAATAGCTTTTCCTGCCACCCAAAAGGAGACAGAATATTCTGTAGAATATTATTTCAGAGGTTTTCGGTTTTGTTTTTTCATTTTCACAGTAAGGATGTAAAAAAGCTTGAAATGCTTGTGACTGACCTGATATGTGGGAAAATAAATAAATCCATTCCCAGGTTTGCCAGCAGGATTCCCCAGTTCCCAAATATATGGCTCAGCCTGTGCCCGTTGTCGTTTTCAGTCACTCCTGCAGCACCACAGGAAATGCAGTGAGTGCAGGGACACGCAATGCTGGGTTTGCTGCAGCTGGAAACCACAGGTGAAGCTGTGAGTTGCAGGGAGCTTTGTGATGCTTTTCTCACAGAAATGATCTGTTTGGGATGAGTTTAACTGGAAGCAGCTGCTGCTGCAGGGTCCCCCAGAGCAGACTGGCAGGAAGCCACGGGACAGAGAATCCCTTCAGGTGGAGGCTGAAAACAGAGTTTCTTACTGGGATATTCCCTGGTAATGTGGTTTATTCCCTTCACTGGAACTGCCGAGCATGCCAGGGACACAAAGATGCTTTGGGACATGCTCTGTAAGAGGAGCTTTCTTCATCCCTGTGCTGTGGGAGAGGCTTCAGCCAGCTCAAACTGCTGGACTACTCAACAGTCTGGACATGAGAGGAGCCTCAGTGACTGTAACATTGCCCCAGGTGGGTTGGAGCACCCCTCTGCTTCCTGATGAAGAGCTCATCCCTGCCCTCAGACAACTGAAGAGTCGAGCTAATGGCACTTCATGGGGTTTGGACATATGTCCACCAGGAAATGGGCTGGGTCCAACTGTGCCATGTCACACAGGCTGCAGATTAAAGAGCAGCACATTCAAATGAGATTTATCTCGTCACCCCCAAGATGTCCTCCCCCTCCCATGCGCAGAGGAAGCTGTTTGGTTGTTTAAGATTTAAAATCACCTACCACTGAGATACTTTTCCATAATAAGGCACAATTGGGAAGAAGCAAATCAACATATTTCTTAATACAAGTGAAGGGAGAGGCTTGAAGGGAGCACTAAGTGATTCCCCACATTAGATGCTCTCCTTGCTTTCATCATCCTCTCTTCTTAATCCTTCCAAATTTCAAAATGATTCTTTGCTCCTGTTTCTCTTTTTCTCACAAAATCAGATTCTGATACAAATGGAGCAGGATGGGAATGGGTTTATTTCTTTGCTATTTTAGTAAAGGTATCCACATTACTTCTGACCACAGTTTCTCATAATAGTATAGTTAAAAAAAAAAAATAAGAAAAAGATGAGTGGACTTGTAGGTGCTTTGAAAAAGCTGAAACTTAGGCCAAGTTTCAGGTTCTAAAGGATTGATGGGTCCTGCTGGGCCATGACACCACTGCTCATTGCACAGCTTGTCTTCTCTTATCAGGGTGTGAAGAGTCAGCTGGGAAAGAGCAGATCCGCAGGCCCATGAGGAGGAATTAAACATCCCAGACAGATGTCGGCTCAGGTCTGTGCAGTTTCAGCTGAAGCTTTCCAGGCTGGCTTTGACCCGTTCCATTTCATGCAGAAAACTGTAGAACTGGGGCAAAGTTAACTCTGAAGAAAAAAAAAAAAGAGGCATTAAGTCTTAGATTTCAGGTTACACCTCCAACATTGGCAAAGCTGTTCTGGTGCTACCACGGAACAACTCACGTTCACCTAAGCTGGGCAGCATTAGCCACTGTGATTCCCAGCAGCTGGTCCTTGTGCTAACCAGGCTGCCAGGGGGGACAGGCTGGGATCTGCCCTGGGATGGGATCTCCCAGCTGTATTCCCTGCTTGGGAATCATTTATTTTCCTCCTCTGCCCTGCTGCTCTGACTGCTCTGCACTGCTCTGTGGCAGATCTGTGTTTACTGAGGCACAGATGTGAAGGTGCCCAAAAGTCAGTGCTCGTAAACATTTTTGGAGTGCCTGTGACAGGGAGAGACTGGGGCAGGAACAGCCATAGTGATGGAGAGGCTGAGGCAGGAGTAACCACAGTGATGCTCTTGCAGTTATCCCACCCTGGTTCTGCCCCCAGACTCCCCCACCCCCAGCAACACCCCGAGCCCCAAACTGCAGCTTTCCCATCCTTCCCTCTTGTCAGAAATGTTGACTCACCGACATACACATTCTCCAGTTGGCTCCCTTTTTTAACCACCAGCTTCAGCTTGGAGAAAGGAAAAGCAGAAGTAGTTTAGTTCAGAGACCTGTATCTGAGCACCAGGAGAGGACAGCAGAGCAGGAGTCTGCTGTGAGTTTGCTGCACAGCACACACATCTTTGACAGGTTTTTCAAGAAGTGCCACTGTAGGAACAGATATCCTGGGCATTGGAAGATCTCTGGAAGTCCTTGATCCCACTTTCCCTGCCTCCCCAAGATGGTTGACCTTTGCTAAACTGAGCTTTTTGAACAGCTTTTCAGAATGGGCCACGTTCCTGTGATACCTCACGTCTTCAGAGGAAAACCAAACAGCAGCGTGTCTGCTGGCAGCAGCACTTGGAGACTGAAGATGCAGTCACAGAACCTGTTCATGTGAGACCCACAGAGCTTCCCTCTCCTTCCCTCACAGCCAGTGCTTCCCACATGCCTGGCTGGAGCTTGTTCCTCAACTGCCCTACAAGCTGAACTCTGTGATGTGGGAGATTTACCTGTAAGAAGATACTTCCCACTTTTTCCAGCTCACTGCTCCCAGCAGTCACTGTGAGTCAGAAAGAAGAGAAGGCAGATAATCTGTTAGTTAAGTGGTGAAATAAAACATTATTTAGCCAAGAGCTGCTGCTGGGTTTCCCAGCCCCTCCAGTTTAAGTTGTAGCTCTATTACCTCCAAACTTCCACTCCATGTCTATCAGCTGGTTAATCATCAGTGTCTGACCCAGAGCCAGGCGTGTTAGGGTAGGGGAATTCACCTTCCACTACAAGAGCAAAAGACACACTAGCAATTAATTCAGAGGGGCCTCTGTACCTAAAACTTCAACAAGAATCAGAACGAAGGCAGAGGATGGCAGAAGCCCAGAGTAAAGAGAGAACTAATGTGGTCAGGAGGGCTTTCAGAGGTGTTTGAGTCCTGCTAGGATTTCCATCGGCCCTGTCACTTCTGCAAACGAAACTCACTGGTTTTGTTTTAGCACTGGTTCAGTGTAACAATATCTGTGCAAAAAGCCATGTGTTCATGTAACTGCATGACCTCAGGGCTCAAAGCACGGGAAGCACAAAAACATCACATGAAAACCACACAGCAGTGCAGGAACTGTGACACTGATGGGGGAGAGGCCCTGGCAAACCAGAGGTGCCATCAGACAAAGTGCTCCTTATTAGTTTTCTGAGGATATTCAGTTCAAAATCCCAAGCTGGTTTTGAAGAAAATACCCAATGTGCCAACGCGTATCAGGAGCACAGTGGGGTTTTATGAGTTCCCACTCACAGAACTGACATTTTGTTAGCTCAGTAACAAGCAAAAAGAAATGAATACCTGTTCTGCAAAATAACTGGCTTTCTCTTCACTGAGGCCTGTGGAGGGAAACAATATGAGATTACTATATGTGATAAATATTAATTATCTTTTATTTAGTGGAAATCACATGACCTACCTAGGGCAATAAAATCCGCTCTGACTTGTTCAGAAGACAAATTCCTCTTCAGGGCACCTGAACAAACACCACAATGAAAAAAAAAAAAATCACTTTTTAATGAGTCAAACCAATTTTTACTGAGTCAAATAGAGGCAGGGACGGGACCCTACGCGCGAAAGCCTCTGTTTCTGAGCTGTGTTTTGATGCAAACCACAGCTCCTCGGAGATTGGAAACCCAGTCGTCCCTGCCAGTATCTCTGCAGATGCCCGGTGCTTTAAAAGTCCGGGCTCGGGGAGTGCCGGGGAGAGGGCGAGATCCCATTGCAGGTATCCATGGGAACAGAGGCAGCGGTTATGTTTTGAAGCTGCTGCTTTCTCTCCTGTAGCCGCTTTGCTTGTTAAAGGAGAACTGTTAAGGCTGGCGGGCTGCTAATTTGACCTACCTGCTGTGTTTGGGATGATGGGTGTGAACGTGTGCATATAACACTTTCCCCCGCTGCGCCTTCCCCCTTTGTTCTGGGGCCCCGGCAGCACGGGGACCTTTACAAGGATTCTGCTCTCTGAAGCCAAGAGCAGGAATCTCATAAATTCAAGGAGACTGCCAGCCCCACGTGGCTTTCCGCCTGTGTAGCACAGATGCAAAGTGATCTGCTGTGATCTGTTCTGATATCGTCCGTGGCATCCCAGAGCTGAGGGAAAGTTACGATGGGAAACGACAAGATGGGAGCACCAAGGCCTGAATCAGGATGGGGAAAAAAATGCAAATTCCGCACTAAATCCCCACAAGATGGTTGCAGGAAGGAAAATTGTTGCTACTCCTGGATAGGAAAAGTTGCTTGAAGCAGTAGAAAAAGTGTAAGACAAATTCAGAAAACAGTTGTGCTCAGCATCAGGGCCGTGAAGGAGGCTACAGGGAACCAATGTCTGAAGGCTAATAGCAAGGGACTATTAATAACAGGAGGGATCAATGGGATGAATGTGCCGTGGAGTGTTTGATGCATTATCGTGTCAAACGGCAGCCACAACATCACAGTAATCCTATAAAGTGGTGGAGTCTGGGGTATTCCAGTGGAATCCCCCCAAACCTCTTCGTCACCGTTTATGAACGAGAAAGAGCTGGACACAGTAAGTGTTTCTCTAGAACTGCAAAGTCAGCTGTCTCCTTCACATTGTCTGGAACTGCACCAGTCCCAGCCCATTCCAAATGCGTGTGCACTGTCTTATTTCTCTCCAACAGCGCTTGGCCTTGGAGGAATTACAGCACTGGGTCACTTGGGTGGAAGTTCCTGCAGAGACTCGCTGCCAACACGAGGCTGCCCCGATCTGGCAAAAGGCATTTACAGGTATTGCTTAAACCAAGCACTGTCACGGTGTTGTGTTGCATTTAATGCACAGATATTTAAGGGAGTTTACTTAAGCCCGTGAAATGTGCATGCAGGCAGGGTATAAAGAATACAACAAGTCACCAAACAGAACTTTTGATTCTTAAGTGCTAAGCACTGTATTAGCTACCATTAACACTTATTGTGCAAACCAAGCCCTGCGGGAATGGCTGGAACAGATTGGCCTCAGGGCAGGATATGCAAATACATCACTTACCGTTGGGTACCAGAAGAATACT